AGTTACCTCCTCACTTAGTTGCTTTTTGTCATGCTTTTTTTTTCTGACTCACCACAAGAAGAAGAAAGAGACGTGCAGGTTTGGTAAGTGCTGTCCACTAGAACCAGTAAAGCACAGTCCACTGACAACTGGAGCGAGTGTCAGCCTGGAGAGGAAGCAAACACTAGTGGTTGATAACAGCATAGAAAGTATTGCTTTTTGTTTGCACACACGTTTTAAATAAACTGCTGTTCACGGTGGCCAGGATTTCATAGCCTCTTGCTGAACCCCAGACGGGGAACACATTCTTTCTTTCCACAGCACCGAGCAGATTCTAAACCACAAATGATCTGCACGCATCCGCATTTCAGTGTGCCTCATACAAGACACTTTAAGAAGGAGCTGGTCTTCAGAAGCTAGTGCTTAGGTCATTTAATTGCTGGTCCTGGCATACTGGTTGTAGTAGTGCAACCCAGATTTGCGTTGTAAGACATTACTGATCATTTTCGCACATGAAAAAACAAGCCTGCAGCTTGCTAGCAGTTACTTTAGACACAAATAAATAGGAAAGGATCCTAATTGTACTGGGGGCTCATCCTAGGCCATTTACTTTTTGCCTCAGCTGAGAGAAAAACAGTTACATGAAAACCTTTCTAGCCCTTTTTTAGATAACTTCAGCCTTCACACAGCACAGTAAATTAGCTGTAGCAGATTTCTAGGTATATATTTAGTAACATCTCTGTGTTCCAGTTTTCTGCTGGAGTTGACCTCTCTTCTTCCCAAGCCCTTCTTGGGAGTCAGCTTTTTGCATAGCACTCATCCAAACTCTCTCCCAGAGCTTTAAAAGAACTACCAAAACATTTCCTAACTCAGTATCATCATACCTCAGGGCAAGCTGGCCCCATCATTTCATCACATGATAAAAAACAGGCCTCCAATTAAATTATGACTTCAGGACAGCAACAAAAGTTTTCTGTGAGTTTAGAGTTCAATAGTTATATAATGGTTGGACTTGATGATCTTAAAGGTCTTTTCCAACAAAAGTGATTCTATGATTCTACATCTATATTAAACCTCTTACAGCTCTTTCAAGTAATTCTGTGAGATCTCTGAATTTTCTGTATTCTTGTGTTTTTCTTCAAGATTTCAGACTCAGGGCAGTGGGAAACCAATATTGCCCATCTCAAGTCTTGCTTTTTTTTTCATGCCACTGTAATAAAATTTCAGTTAAAAAACAAGAGGCATTTTATTTCATTTAATTTTATTCTCCACCATGTGGATCAATTAGTAATTGAATACTACAGATGCAACTATGCAGTGATGACTCAGCTGTGGAATTTGAGATAAATGTCAGTAACAGTTTGTAGTGTATTATGTGGGCTTAGCTTTGCCTAATTCCATTAGAAACAATAGGGCAGAAAGCCTTATCCTAAATTCTGAAAAAAACCCCAAATCCAACTATAGCCATCTCAAAGCCATTTGTGGAATATTAATTTTACTTAAAAAAAAAAAAAAAGGAAAACAAACATAATTACAAGTGATGTTTATTTTATCAGATAACAGGAATTATGCCATCTGACCTTCAAAGGGTCCTGCAGGAACTGACCAAGGACTGTTATCAGCTAGTGCTGATCCTAACTCCTTATGCCAGATTTCCCTTTGCACTGAGCTTTCCAGTGCACCAGCTTTGCAGCTCTTCAGAAGGTCTTAGCACCCTCAGTCTTATATAACAGAGGATTGACTGTAGGGCCACCATTTCTAAAAACCGTAACTCAGACAAAACTAAAATATGAAGGGCAAATGTTTGCTTTATATTCACTTTATGAATACTGCATACAAAGTATTAAAAAAACCTGGACAAATGCTAGTAATACCAGTCCCTAATTCTTAGCTCTCTGCTGGAAAACACCAAGCAGGGCATGGGGTTGTGTTGTTTGGAGTGTTTTTTGATTTTTTGTTTTGTTTTGTTTTTTAACAGAACCTGGCAATATAGTATCCCACGTTGCAGCAAATAAAGAAACCTAGATAAAGATTCTCAGCTTACCACTCGGAAGGAAGAACAAGAATAAAAGGAAAAAAAAGAAAAGGCAAGTGAAGGAACAAATGCCTTTTCTCAGTATTTAGTGCTTAGCTCCACAACTAGTTTATATGTAGGGAGCTTCATTCCTGAGACCACATGAATGAGACTCACTATCTGAGATTTAATGGGAAATACAATTGACTAGCTGCTAAGAAAATGAGAAAACTATTTGCTTCATACAATGAACAAAGCCAAAATTGTTCTACTAGTTGCAACAGCAATGAAGCATTTGCAGTTTTAATTTACATCCAGAGAATCCTTTGATTTGGGGCATTTTGCATGTGTTACAAAACAGCAGGAGTTGCCAGATGTTCTACACTTTTCAAATCTAGCCCATATTTAGCATAGAACCATGAATTCAGAAATCTGGGTTTTATGCTGTTGCTAAAAGGCAAAAAACCTGTGGGTTCTGGCTATGAACACTTTTTTCCCCATTTTTTTAAGTCTGCATACAACCTCTTGTTTTATGGTTTACACTTTACAGCTATGCTGCTTTTAAGGCAGTTTCCTTAACTCCATGACTTACGTATCTAGCATTCATTTTAACTACTTATTTTAATATCCGAGTCTAGCTTTTTTCTTATTTACTGTGACAATTTTTAAAAATGTTTGTCTATTAAGATGTAATAATAAGCAGTTTTTAAAAATTATATTTTTCATTATTATTACATCAAAACTGTTCTCAATCCTATGAGCCAGGAAGTTTTCTTTATCCACAGAAAGAGCTGCTGGTGCTACTGTGCAGCTGCTGGCATGAATTTAGTCAACATTTGTTACACTTCCTTCTTAAGGCCCACTGAATTGGCAGTTCAGAGAAGACTGTTCAGTACATGACTCTTCAAAGCAACTTACCTGAAGATGTTATTCTTCTATTCTGATTACATTACTCTGCTGTGCTGTAAAGAGAAACTAGTAAAGAACAGAACTGGAGAGTAAGACAGATATGACTAACAAGGTGGTGCAAATATATAAGCACTGGTGATCTTAGCCAGCTGACACAGGTAAGCTGATGATACATAAGCTACCTCATTTGGATGTACTGCTGAGAAAACAGTGAAATCAACCTGCACTGGGGTATTCTGAAACATATATAACCTGTGGAACCAGGAAAAAATACACAATCAGGGTGGGACATTCAGATTACTTAAAAGCAAGCTTGACATCTACAGTATTGAAACTCAATTTGCTTCTGTGTTCTTAGCAATCTGGTAAAAAAACTTCAATGACAAAGGAGTACAACTAGGTCAGTTCAGTTGATGTTACAGAATCTGGAATTAAACTGCAATGCTGCAGAGGTTGTTAGCAGTAATTCAAACTGCTATTTTCAAATTAAAGGGCCAAGTGGACATAACTGCTTCATTCATTTTGAAGCATTTTTTCTATAATCTCAATGCTAGTTTACCTCATAGTGCAGTTTTATTGTGACTTGCACATCTGAAAATTACATACATTTTAAAGAAATGTAAAAGAAAAGACAATTACAATCACTCAGAAAGTTGATTTTTTAAAGTACAGGGTTCCAATTTCACTAAAAGGAAGGACTATAGTTCCATGTGTACTGCGACCTTGTCTCCAACTACACTTAACAAATACAACCTAATAAATTTAAAGAACCAAACATCCGTAGAAGCTAATCTTACAACAGAGACTGCTTCTTTACTACAGAAATTTGCATTTTCCTATATTTAAAAAAAAAAAAAAAAAATGGTCCAAATACAAAGTGAAATGGGTAAAAGCAAGTCTAAGATGAGCAAATATTGTCCTCTTTTTTCAGTTCCACTTGTAGCGGTCTCTTGGAGGTAAATCATAATGTGTTGTCTCTTCCTCTTCAGGTCCACAATCTAATGGCAGACCATAATTGTAATCAACTGTGACAACTGGTAATCTTTTGCTTTGTTCCATATCTCTGCTCGTTTCACCTTGAAAAGGTTGTTGTTCATAGTCTACTGGACTACCTTCCTGGTGTATAGATGAAGACGTATGCATTTTTCGTGAAGAGTATGGTGCAAATCTGGTTTTCCCTCTGTTAAATTCATTTGAGGGATGCATCCTTCTATTGTCTTCAGGACAATTTTGTTGATTACTGTAAGAAGAACAAATGTGAACAGTGAAATCCTTAGAAATAAAAGTTACTTATTGTTGGTGACCACCATTAAACCTGAAACGTGTGTAACCCTGAAAGAAGGTTGTGTGACCTTCATACCCTCATTCTTGTTTTTACTCCTTAAAATTAAAATCCTCTGTACCGAATGTTGCAAACCGGTTTATATTAATTTTTAAATTCTATTGATTAGAATTACAGCTCTTTTTAGTAAGTAATCCTACTAGAAGATGTTTTATGGAAAGTGCTATTTCTGTTTAAAATTCCTTGTTTACTGAGGGTTTCTTAACCTACAGGCCATTTATCTTCCTAAGGCCAAGTTTTCATTTTTGTGAAAAACACATAATAGTAGCTCTCTAGTACATAATCTCAACAAGCAATAATCTACTTTGGATTTCCAGCTCCAAATATTTTAATTATTAATTCTTCCGCAACTGAAGAATCACTCTCCTACAAAACACATATGGAACGATCTAAAAACGCATATACAATATATATGGTTTTTGGTTTGGATTCTCTTTATTCTTAAGTACCTTCTTTACTTTGTAAAATAAGTGGTGTATAAACCCCTCACTGCACCATAGATTAATTTAGACTCTACAAGTACCTAGGGCCACCTGCTCAAATTAGATGAGTTTGTCCAGGGGCCGTATCCGGATGAGTTCCGAGTGTCTCAAAGAACACAAAGATTTTACAGCTACTCCGAGCAACCTGTTTCAAGTGTCTGACCATCCCTCACAGTGAAAGTCACTAGCTTGTTGCAGACCTCAGTTAAGAGTTAAATATTGTCAAAAAAAAAAAAAAAAAAAAGAGATGCTGACAATAGCTTTTCATATTCTGTAGTACATTAGCTTGAACTGTGTTCATCATGTGAATAACTTACATCAAAACTCAATATAGATGGACCATAAATTAGTCACATTACTTGCTCAGGGTTCAGATTCAATGGTTTAGACCACATTTAAGCAAAAAAAATATTAACAGTAATTTTTACATAGTGGCTAATTTGTATTTTTCAGCTGGGAAACTGGGGAGTAACAGTATAGAAGTAAGTCCGAAAACAACATATGAAATCTGATATATACCTATAACTTCTGTTAAAGTCATCATTATCAGACCCATAGTCTCTGTGAAGTGAAGGAGATGAGGAGAAATGAGGTTCTGATACATTTTCACGGGAAGAAAAAGATTGATTTCTGCAAATAACCAAAAAAATTACATGTTAAGAAGAGTACTAATGATTGTAAGCTTTTGAAAAATAATGTGTTTATCAAATAAAATAAAAATCTTTTTAGTGTTAATTAAAATTCACCTAAAATTTTAATTAAAAAAAATCATATTAAACACCTCAAAATGGCATGCTTATTGTAATATCCTCTATTTCAGCTGTACAATGAAAGAAATTAAACTTTCCTATCGCAACAAATAACTGAAATATGTTCTGAAATTTTAAAAATATTTTAAAATATGTCAGGATCCAACAGGTTTACTAATAAGAGATGTATGTATTTGCGAGATGCAAGTTCAGAAGCAAAGGGTTTTCTAGCAAATTATTAAATCATGGAACAAACAAATGCAAGTCAAACTTCCTTGTAGCATTATTGTTTATCTCTGTTTGGCTGGAGGCATAAATAAAATTTGATATCTTCTTCTGTCTTGAGGACTGTTTTTTAAATGTAAGTTTCCGTACAAAGCAAAGAGTTTTGTTTCAAGGTAAAGGGAATACCAACTTTAAAGAAACACAACCTTCTTATTTAGGAAACATTTGCTTTCAAGGCTGCAACACTCCAGCTTCCATCAAACCCATCCATAAGTCAAAATAAAAAATAGTTAACTGATCATTTACATATGATTTTAAAAGGATGATTAATTTGAACTGTGAAAATGTGGAGATTTACACTTTTATTCTCTAATTCTGGTCTTGCAGCTCAATGATGCTTTACCTGTTTGAACACCATTCATGCAGTAAGTCATCATGACCTGGATGATCATGAAAAGGTCTTGGCCTTTGTCCATGCCCTTTATTAACATAATCAAAATCTTTTAAAGGAGTCTGTTCCTGTAAGTCATCATAAGGCTGATGGTAATGATAAGTTCTGTGCCTTTGTCCAGGACCTTTATTATCATAATCTTTTAGTTGCATCTCTTTTTGTAGGTCATTGCAAGGCTGGTGATCATTGTAAGGTCTTGACCTCCGTCCACAACCCCTATTAACAAATTCAAAATCTCTTAATTGCATCCGAGGCTGTAAATCATCATGTGATTGATAGTCATGGAATGATCTTAGCTTTTGGCCAGGACCTTTGCTGACACAATCTGACTCGTTCAACTGCATCTGAGTCTGAAATTCATCATGAGACTGGTGGTCATGGAAAGATGGTCTTCGTCTCTGGCCACGTCCTCTGTTACCAAAATCAAAATCCTTTGGCTGCCCGTCTTCTTGCAGCTCATTATGAGATGGATGGTCAGGAAAAGACCTTTGTTTTTGTCCACGGCCTCTGTTAAATTCAGTGTTCCTCGATTGTCTCTCTGTGTGTAAATCATCGTGAAACTGTTGTCCGTGAAAAGGTCTCAACCTCTGTCCAGGTGCCTTGTTACTGAAGTCCAGGTCCTTCAGCTGCGTGTCTTCTTGGTAATCATCGTAAAACTGGTGATCAGGAAAGGGTCTTCGCCTCTGTCCTGGTTCCCTACTGTAGTCCCAGTTTCTCACCTGCATTGGTGGTCTTAAGTCATCTTGAGTCTGATGGTCATGAAATGGTCGATGTCTTTGTCCAGGTCCCTTATTAATGAAATCAAAATCTCTCAACTGTATCTGTCCTGATAAGTCTTTGTGAGAGTGGTCATCATAGATTCTTAATCTTTTCCCAGACCTGTAAAGAATTTTTTGTCTTAAATAAAACATCATACTTGTGCTACAAGGTATTAATGAAAATTTTTTTTAGCCAAGATTTGATATGAAAGACCTTGCAAAGATACAAGTATCAAAGGCACTAAGAATCCAAACTGTAAGAAAGATTATAAAACTTCCATTGTCATAGAAGATGTGACAGACATTTAATGATAATTCTATAGCACTGGTTAAACTGGCAAAACCAGTCATCCCAAGTGAATTAAAACTAATTACAGATTACTGTAGAACAATCAAGAAAGACAGGTAAAGTGAAACACTAAATTTTTCCAAGTGAACTAACTACTTACAGACTTCTAACAGTGCACCTTCCCTTTCTTTCCCTTATCTTTTCACTCTTTCATCAAATTCTGTAACTATATTTTGCGTGAGTAGGCTATATTCATAAAATCTCTTAAATAAGGGTATCTACAGTACTTTCAATAAGAAACAATTATCTTCCCCCTGTGTAGCTTGTTTTGCTTTTCATTCCATGTTTCAGCCTATTACCCCTGAAAATCTTCATTTGGGAACCGCTCTCAAGGT